ATTTATTTTGTTTAAGGTTTTTCAATTGACATTGGCTTTTGTGAGTTAGTACATGCCAATTCTAGCATGCCGTTGGTTGTATCTGATGAAATGCATACAGTAGGCCCATAGTAAATGTTCAGTAAAACTCTTCATTACATGTGTGCTGTGATTTTGAAATTATAAAAATTCAACCACTAGGTAATGTGCAACCGTATTGTTAGCATATCTATGATTCAATTTGCATTATATAAAGGACACAGAGATGCTAATCTTAGGTATGATCATCTAGGACTAAAAACAGCATATGGAAGAGAGCAGGGACAATGAAAAGTGGGGGAGGCATATTAGGAAACATTACATTCCTGTGGCCAAGAACAACCGTTGGAGATATTCAACGTCATTGAAAGGTAATTTGTTGGGTGATAACTCTAGGGAGAATGAAATCTGAAAAATGCCAAGAACCAAATCCTTAAAAATAAGATACAACAACAAAACAGCTACCTAATGAAGACAGAAAGCACAAACGAGAGAGGCAAATACAGCTGCTGGAGATCATAAGCACAAGAACAACAGATGCAAAGGACGGGGATGGGACCACAGTCTTCTAGGCTCATTTGTATTTCCTACAAATTTGTGATCATTCCTTACATCCTGGGAAGAAAGTGAAGGTAGGAGTTCTTTTTATATATGCCTTCCTTTCTATGGTTTATCCCTTATATGTTCAAGACAAATATGCCTATTTTAGAAGACTGGGAGGGAGTTTTGTGCAGTATTGTGGTTACTAATAGATTTTCCCCCCTTCCATTTCATTCATACATTGGTTTCTTCATCTAACAAACATGCACTGAATTTCTCAGAGAGTTTTTGCATTCCTAATTGGTTTCTTTTAGAACTGGTTTTTAATCTCATGAAAATGTATGCTTTTTTTTGGTAATATAATCCAGGAGGAAAATATGGTTTTATATATAGATCTTTACTAAAGCAGATAATATGTACATCACGGGACCCATTTATCTTTCTGAGTTCAGCACGTAAGCCATGTCACAGTTATTGAGCTAGAGAAGTTGAATACTATAACCATTCTAAAAGATTAAGAGTGACAGCTGTGGGGAGGTTCACTATGTTGGTATGTTTTTAGAGATTAGGATCTCGTATTTAACACAAAGCAAGTTTTTGAATGAAGTCTTTGGAATCAGGAATATCTCTGTTTCTATCTCCACCTTCTCTTACCCAAAAAGGTGGCTTTCCTACTAGAATGAAATGATCTGACCAAGACTTTGAAATAGCTCTGTCATATTTTGTGAGAGTATGGAGAAAATGTTTTACCCTATTGCAGAAACATTTGTCTCTCTATCACTTTCATATATGTGTGTGTGTGTGTGTGTGTCTCGTCTGTCTGTCTGCTGGTCTTTCCCATTGATACCTTTATCCTTATTAGAAATTGAGATTAATTTGGGAATTTCAAGGCAGTTATCCGTGGCCCCATGGAGAGGATGAAAAAGGTCTGCCTTGAAACTACTATAGGAGAAAAGGAGGAGAGTGATCTGTGGACCTGGATGGTTGAAATGAGTGGGTTCCAATAGTCCTTTGCCTGTTGTGACTCCTTCACCAGTCTCCATAGTTTGCAGAACATGTAGATGTCTGTGGCTGCAACCTGAAGAGTTCTAAATCTTACACACCTCACATTTAAGAAAGAGCCCTGATTCTGATTGCTTTACTCAAGCCTGTCACCAGCTGTAGTATGTTTCTAACTCATGCACAGCTGTACTAGACTCAGTGAGTACTGTACTAGATTCAGTGAACCTTTTTTAGTTTTTTTTTTTTTTTTTTTTTTGTACTGGAGATTGAAATCAGGGGTGCTTAACCACTGAGAAACATCCCCAGCTCTTTATATTTTTATTTTGAAACAGGGTCTCACTTAGTTGCTTTGGGCCTCACTAAATTGTTGAGGCTGGCCTCAAACTGGTAATCCTTTTGCCTAAGCCTCTCAACCTGCTGGGATTTCAAATGTTTGGGACCATACCTGTCTTTCAGTAGGCCTTTGATGGCTTCCTTCAACCCTCCAACTACAGCTCCTGGAGTATCCTGCAGTCTTGGTGAGCTGCACATGTCTTCCTCAGCATGGTTGCAAAGAATAAAGTTGAAATGTTGCTGGAATGGTTGTTTGCCAGATGATAAGTATGGATATGCTCTAGAAGTCAAATGTCACATCTGGAAAGCCCAGTTCTCACAGCCAGAATAAACACCAGACATCAGAGTCACATGTTCATGCTACATGTGTTTACTGAGTACCTGCTGTGATTCAGTTTGCTGCCACTCTGCATTCCAGGAACCTGTTGGTCTTCTTGATTTTATCACTTATTTATCAATTAGAGCACCTAGTAAGAATTCCAGGCAGTTTTCAGTCCCCTGCTGAATGCATTGCCATCAATGCAGAAAGTCCCAGCTGCCCTAAAAATAAAGACAGAGTTAATGTACTCAAGTTGAAAGCACTTCACTTTCTTAGCACAGGTTGGAAGATGAGTTCTATTCCTGGTAACACAATGGCAATTGTGTTACCTTGGCTTTATCTTGGCCTTAATTTCCACATCTATAAGGGTGGAGTGAATTGGATACTGTTTAATGGACCTTTCCTCTTTAACATTCTTAGATTGTAAGCATTCAGAAATTGTTTAGAATTTGTAATTAAGCAATTTTGTAAACTGGCATGTCACGATCCAGGAGAGTAAGGGAATTGAAAGAAAATCAGAAGGAAATTTACTTCTGTCACCATAAAGTACCTAATATTAAAAAAAAAGAAACTAAAACCAATCATAGTTAAACACAATGACTGCACTATATTAACACACTTTTCTTCCCACAGCAAGGGTTCTATTTTAATCTGTCACTTATAATATTATAGCAGCATGTCTCAGTCTATTTAGGTTAAGTAGCTACAGCGATTTTGAAAGCACTAATGATCCCTATACGGCATCTGCAAATGCCCTAGCTAGGCAGAGCCCAGCCAGGTCCTGGCTCAGAGACTGCTGCTTCTTTTAGGTGGGCTTACAGCTCCCACATGTTTAGTGGTGATGGCATGCCACAGGAGACTTATGATGAATTCAGTCATTTTTGAGCTCATAGGAAAAGGGATAACCGTGGCTCAGTAATTTGTGGGCCCAAAAGCTCCTCCCTCTGCCACAGGGAAGGCCAATCACAGGAGGTATGAGGCCAGTTCCCCACTGCTCTCTTTGTAAGGGGTGGTCTCCATGGCAACAAGGCCAGAGCGTCTCTTTCCCAATTGCAGAGCCCTGGGGCTGTAGAGCTTTAGTTATTTAGATTTGAAGTAAAATATTTCACACATCTACTGGCATCCTCTTTAAACATAAGGTTGACAATTGTAGTGTCTCCTCTTTCCTTTAACCATTAATAACATAAGTAATTTCTTTCATGTGTTCCTGAAACCTAAATCTCAGGCATTGTTTTCATTTAAATATGTTCTCTTTTTGTGATACTCAATGTAAGACTAATCACTACTCTGCAATAAACATGGATTCAGATACTGTGGATTTCTTGAGCACCTACTGTTTATTAATGTGTTAGGCATTTCATAAAATAATTCACATACATTATTTAAGTCCCCAAATATATCCATGTTAACTCACATTTAATCAACATTATTGGTGTTTGGCACATAGTATCCACTGTCATTTGTTGAGTAAAAGACTGAAAAAAGCCAGGCATGGCAGGATATGCCTGTAATCCCAGCGACTCAAGAGGCTGAGGCAGGAGGATTACAAGTTTGAAGCCAATCTGGGCAATTTAGGGGGGGACCTTGTCTCAAAATAATAAAAAGGATTGGGGATATAGCTCAGAGGTAGAGAACCCCTGGGTTCAATCCTCAGTACTACACATGTGAGCATTCTCACACACATACATACACAAAGACTCAAAAAAAAAAAAAAAAAAAATCACAGACTTTCAAGGTCACAAAGGCTTTTGGAGAGTATCCTGTTAAACTCTCTATACAAATGGAGAAATCAAATTCCATAAGGGGTTGTGACTTTTCCCAGGTGATATTCACAGCTAATTAGAACCCATGCCATCCTAGGTGTATTGCATTCAGACACATTGTTCCGAGTGTTTTGCTGAATGTAGCATTTGGGATACCTCTATGTGAACTATTTAACAAGAAACATGGAGACATTTGAAAATATTTCAAATTTTATTGATACTTATGTTTACAAGACTAAAGTAGGAGGACTTTAAATAAATCAATGAGTGAGGTGTGTCTGAGAGTATGGCGGGGGCAGGGGGTGGGTTCCAAACATGATTTTGTCAGTAGTTCCACATTAATCCAGAGTGACTGAGTCACATCAAATAAACTCACAAAAACTCAGTAGGAACTAGAACACCAGTTTATTAATTCATAAGTAGAATGACATGTTGGTTGGTCAGCAGCCCTCTAGGAAATTCAGTAGAGAAAGATTAATCATAATCACAAAGTTCCTTGGTAAACATGGAATCAAAAAAGGGGGAGTTGGTTATCTGGGTGTAATGACTCAGCTCTTTGAGCCTGTGTGCCCTTCTCCACTGATGTATATATTAGCCAAGGAGATGATGCTCATGGTCTCTGGTCTAGGAAACTTCTTGCTTGGCTCCAGGTAATGTTGGAGATATGCTGCTAGTTTCTTCCTTAAAGACTCTGCTAGTTCTTGGTTGCAAATGGAATGTTCTTTCTGTTAGCATTATTTTTTTCAGACAGGGGATAAAATACCTTGGTTGATGTCAGCTTTTTTAGTTAGTGACCTGCCAGCCTTGCCTTGATGGAACCATCCCCAGCCAGACTGCCATAATCACCTAGTGACAAACTCTTAGAGAACTGTTCTGGATGGCTCATTGAGATACACACACTAGCTTAATGCTCTGAAAGGAACTTTCCCCACATGTTCTGCAGTCACCTTCCTTCATCCCTATGTTATAAAAGTCAATCTGAGACTAAAATAAAAGAAAGCCAGGTTTTAATAGACACATACACCTATATACAGCAGTGAAACAGAATGCTCCCCTTACCACCTTTAATGACTGTGGAGGGGAAATGACCGAGAGGGAGTAAGAAAGAGAAAAGTTGATTTGGAGATTGGGAGTCAGAAAAGATAAAGGATTCAGGAATAAAGACAGAGAAAAATAAGAAGTGCTTCCAACAAGTTTTGACCTGTTAACTATTCCTATGTTCTCTTTATGAATGTGGTGTTGGCCTTGTGATGGACTCAAGTAAAGATCCTGGATACTGACCTAATGAATGTTGATGTTTTGATGAGAGAGGCATGGAAGATTTAGAACATGGAATGCTGTTAAGGAGGGAGAATCAGGTGAGTTACCACAATGGAGAACCATAGAACCTGCTGGGCAGGGTGGAGAACTTCACAATTTTGGTAAGGGCTGAGCCCTTTGAAAATGGTGATGATTTCCTACCACACTGCATTTCTCTAGTGATTACATTTTCTAATCTACTTCTTCTAGTAAAATATAAATTCTAGATGGAATTCTCCCCTGCAAAGAGAAAAGGCAATGTTTATAGAAGTATATATTTAAATTCAACAAGACACAAGGAAGTTAAAGGGCCCAATCCAGTTCCAATCCCAATGAATCAACCGTGGAAATGCATTTTTCATTAAGCGAGCTTTGTCTTTTCCTTAATCCAATTGACATACCGGGATACCTTGGTATATATTCCATATTTGCCTTTCATTGCACATTCTTCACCCCAGCTAATAATGCCAGTTAAGAAACTGGTCCCTTCCACTTCAGTAACATGGGGTCCCCCACTATCTCCTTGACATGAATCTCTACCTCCATCATGGAAGCCAGCACAGAACATGTTATTATAGATGGTGAACTTTGTGGACCGAAGGCATGTGGCTCGGTCAACAAGTGGAACTCTAAGATATTGAAGAATTGAAGCTGATCTCCCTCTATTGAAGATTCTTCCCCAGCCACTCACGTAGCCAGATCCAAATTTGAGGAAGATATTTGTGTATTCCCTGTTGGCAATGCAAATAGGTGTTACATAGCTGTTTAGTATTAAGGGTTCATCCAGTTCCAGAAGGGCAATGTCATGGTTGTACTTATTAATAGTTGCATTGTAGTTGTGGTGAGGAATAACTCGAATCACATTTCGCTTTTGCTCTGTATCTTCTTTCTCTTCGATGTTATATTCACCTATTGAAATAAATTTCATTTTCAGTCACAGATTTTTCATAGAAACAGATTTTCCATGTGTCTACTTGGTATCACTGAAAACTGGCAACCAAGTCTCAAAATGTTACCAAATCTTACATGTTTGATGGGGAAATTGATACCACAATAAATAATTGTATCCTATTGAGATGAGTGCTTTAAGTATTCATCAAAAGAACTATGGGGCTTGAAGGATGGAGCAAGTTTTGAAATTATATCCCCTCTACCACTGGCCCAACTTAATTAGTAACAATCCTATTGGATCTTAGTAAAATATGATGTATCAATCACATAGAAGGTTTAGCAATTGCATAGATTATTATCCTTTTGTTTATTTACCTGCAACAACCTCGATTTTAACACCAGGCTCAATACAGTGGGCAGCAGTTACAACCCATTTTTCATTGATGATGGAGCCACCACAGAAGGCATTGATTTTACCATTCAAAAGGACCTGTGGAAACAAATTAAGAATCTTACTGCACAATATATTTGTTCCAGAACAAAATAAATACATGTGCTATTAACAGGAGTAGGCAGAAAGTTGGCTTGTAGGCACTGGCAGAAATGGCGAATTTCTGCAAGGTGTCACCTTTGTGGATGAATTAGTGTTTCTGAAACTCAAACCAAAAAGCCATTTCTGTAACTATCTTGAGGAAAATGCACACTGAGAGACAGGAGAGATTTGGGGCCTTCGAGTTCCTTTCCCAGGTGAGTCAGATTTTCGGATGGCACAATTGCTTCATGGGATACAGCATGTATTTTAGGAAACACACTGACAACTCCTCCAGATGAATAGGGATATTGAGTCTCCTGTCTCTGTGTGTGTGGAGATCTCTTTGCTATAGATAATTTGAAAAAGAAAAGATGATATATTCTTCCAGGAGTACTTTCAAGCCCCTTCCAAACTGGAATAGTATGAACTAGACTTAATGCCTCTATCAGGGCTGTGCATAAAGCCACCCAAGCGGTGGGGCACAGCAGGACTCGCAAGCTCCTTCCATTCTCTCCTATCCATACCCCACCCTACCTGGCTGAATATGTAATCTGCCTTTGTCTTAAAAGGTCTAGTTAGCTGTGCTTTATTTTAGCTGGGCAAAGATGTCCATTCATTCATCTGTATATTTGCTGCACAATCACAGAGGACAACGAATATTTCCAGCACCTTAAGGTCTAGATCAAGTTAGAGAATTTCAGGTCCAATGTAAGTGAGGGCCTTTCTCCATCTAAATTTTCCCAAATAAAGCTGAGATATGTGAACACTAGAGGGCACACTCAACATTCAGTAAACTCTTCAGGAGCCCATGAGCTCTTTGTGAACGGATGCACTATTCCTAAGGCACTGGTAGCCCTAGGCATAAAGTCATTCATAAACAAGGGAAAGCAGATGGTCAACTCCTTTATGTGTTGGTCAGAGATAGTCCCTGGGGCATGTTCTTTTGAAAGTTCTTCCAGTCCTGAATTCAACGTACTGAACACCTACTATGTGCTAGCACTGAAGCACAGCTCATAACAGGCTTCATGATCTTTTCCAAACTCTGGCTCTCCCTTTCCGTTGCTTTTTATCTTAAAAAAGCTGTAAAACTACTGAAAAACCTCAAATAATAATATAATAAACATCAGTGTGTCCACCACCCAGATTTAACAATTATTCTAATTTTTTGAATATATATTGAGTGCTTATTTGGGGCCAATCCTTGTACTGTTTTGTATACATTTTATATCAAAACATAACATCCTCAAAGAAAGGCAGTAATAAAAAAAATGCTATCTCACAGGGTTATTTTGAAGATTAAAGGAGATAAGTTGTGTAAATTGCCCAGCACTTTGGCCAGTATATAGATAATACATGTTAACTATCTTTATTGAAAAAAAACATAATATCCTTATGGAGTGATAGTAATATATCCATCCATAGATGTTCAAACTAAGGTTTAGAGATATATATTAATTCCCCTCAAGTTAGCTAGCAGGATATAGAACCAAGTCTGCCTGACTCCAGTATTTGTACCTCCAGTATCTCTTTAAATATGGTCTATGGACCAAGGCAGGAGAATCACCTGGAGTGCTTGTAAAGTGCAGATTTGCGAGCTTATTGAGACTTAAAATATTTACTGCTAGGGGCTGGGGAAAATGAAGCTCTCTAGAATATTCTTACGTATGATTAAGTTAGACAAGTGTATTGCACTACTGGATCAGAATTCCCAAGGCTTGGTAATCTTTGTTTTAATAATGCTCACCCCATTGTATCAACATACTTTTTGTGGGGGGAGGGGTATGAGAAACAGAAATGTGAAGTCTTTTGTTCCAAAGCCAGGAAAAAAAAGTGTCACTGAAGATACTAAAATACAATTTTTTTTCTTTTCTTCAGTGATGTTTCTTGAAATGTTTGTTTATTTTTCTTTTTTTAGCTTGATATTTAATATCATGCTCCCTTTGGCATGGGGATATTTGCTAGGAGAGTGTAGACCTTTACAGGTGCCCAGGGGTGGCACTCTACGTTCAGCACACACACTCCCTGTCTGCCAGCCACAGGTCACTGGACTCTATCATGGGAGGGTAAGTCAATCTTTCTTTGCCAGGGGGCCTACGGTACTACTGGTATTCCTATTGCAGCAATCAAGGCAGAGAGATAATTCCCAAGGGATTGCAACATTCATGTCAGGATGTACCCAAAAGGGAAACTGGCAAGAGGCTTGCCCCTAGCATTAATCCTTTAATTGTTCTGTAGCCCATTCCTGGTCCAGAGATGCCTATGGCCATGTCCCTTCCCCAGATAGCACAGAGTGTGTGCACCTGACCTCAATCCTCCTTGTGTCTGGGCCCAGGTCCTTGCCAGGGGAGAAGGGTGGCAACAGTAGTTGGGTAGAGACAAGGAGGAGATGTATGTCTGGGCACCAGGGGTTGGGGGTGGCAGTGGTCATTGGGCAGGTGTGGAAGGGAGAGGCAGGGCTGGATAAGGCACCAGGGGTAGAGGAGAAGGAGGTGAAGAAACTTTCTAGGAAGTGGTGAGAGGTGGAACTGCAGTAATCCCAGGTTCCAAGGCCCCAGTGCATGCTCTGTTGTCTCATCAGACTTCAGTTACACAGCACAAATGCAATGTATTAAACTCTAGATATGCCACCCTTCTCAGTATAGAGCCTTCTGTAAGCATACTGGTTATAAGACCATGTGTGAACTCTGACCCCAAGTGATTATTATCACCAAGAAAATGTGGGCAACATGATTCTATAATGGACATGATGATTACAACTGAATGCATCTGTTCAAGCAGGTGGAAATAAGAGTTTACCAGCCTGGATATCACATTGTTTCCCCTCCAGCCACTATTTGAGGCAGGGCAGAGGTTTGTTTGTGGAAGCTGGGAATCTCTCAGTTTAGTGGGCTACTTAGGTCAGACTGAATGAATCCACAGCCTCTGGGCACAGAGACTGTGATGTAGTTTGTCTGACTCCTGCCAAAGACTCGCTGCCTGATGTTTCTATTGCTTTCCAGTGGATGTTTGAGAAATACAGTTGTTCTTTTAAGCCCAAAGAGAATTCTTTGCCAATCCCTGATGGGTGTTAGAAATTTTAGCAAACATCTTTGCCAAAAAAAAGACCTCAAATATATTATTTTGCATTTAAAGATATTACAATTGGTATGGTTTTGGAATGCTTTCTTGGCTACCTCTGGACCAAATCTATATAAATATTAGATATTTGGGGGATGAGCTTTGTACTTGGCCAAGGACAAGTTCATGTTAAGACACCACTTCAGAGAATGATGGAGGAAATGGGAAGGCATATGTTGTGAGCAAGATACCTGAGTTCTGATCTGTTAAACATTTTCATGGTAGCCACAGCCTAACAGGAGCCTGTTTTTCCTCTTTTGGACACACACACACATACACATCAAACACAAATACATTCATCTACAAAATACATACTCACAAAATTGCACTTATACTCTTCCTGAAAATGCCAGTCCAGAGTACCAGTGGTTGCCCTGTTGTTCTCTTTCCAAGTGTTAATTCCAACCTAGCCTTTCCCTGTGATTTCAGCAAAACTTTTATTCTCCTTCTGTCACTCACTCCAACTTTTCAATAACACTTTTTTTCTGTATCTTTACTCTCTCATATACAAAGTAAAACCATTTCTACATGACCTATAACTTGCTATGCCCACAGGCATGATTCAGTCAGCCCATGGCCCTATGTCATTTTGCTGGGCATAGAGGGGATACTCACTTTGGTTTTTAGTGGTTAACTTGAAATATGACATTATTTCAAATATACCATTATTTCAATTAGTTAATATTGAAATATATTTCATCAAACAATCTTAGAGTATAATAGTCTAAATATTCTGTCCCAACTAGCTTTGTGGGGCCTGGTGTGATTATATATATCATGTTCCTATTTATCACCTGAGCTAGGAATAATACAGGGTTATCTTTTTTTCAAGAGACTATCTTTCTGTTTTCATGTAAGATACCCCTCCACACAAAAAGCTGTGATTTATACAAATGGTAACTCCACCCGCTATCTGCCATTGACATGTGTCCTATTTGAATCATTGTAGCTAGCAGTATAGGGCAAGAGTGCAGGCAAATTTAAAGATAGCTGAAAGCCAGAGCTGAGGGAAGCTGAGACTGGGGAAAATGTTAAGATACTTTAAAGATTTAGGCCAAGAATAGAATAAAGAATGGACAAACTGCTTCTTCAGACATTTTCTATAGGTTAAAATAGTTAAATATTAGGAAATGCATATGATACAACATAATATGAGGACAGCTTACACTTGGCTTCCATATTATTCCTTTTTTTCAATGTGGTAGAATGATCTTCAGACTATTAAATGTGGAATAAATATGCTTCATACAGAACTGAGACTTATGATAAGACAGAAAATAGAGTAGGTACTTCACCTACAGAGCTAATCAGATCTTAACCCAAAGCAGTTCTTGGGTCAGTTTGTGCATGCTCAGAATTGTCAGATGGCAGGATCATGGGCTTGGGACCAAAACCAAATTAAAGCTCTAGAATCCCTGAAAAACATATCACTCTTTCAAACCTGTCGTCTCTCCGTCTGTATGTATATACACACTTATATAAGCACATGTGTATATATGAAATATATACACATATGTATGTGTTTTGCAGTGCTGGGGATAAAATCCAGGGTCTCTAACATGCTAGGCAAGTGCCCTACCGCTGAGCCACATCTCCTGCCTCAAACCTCTAACCTTTTTTGTTTGTTTGTTACAAGAGGTTGAACCTAGAGGCACTTAACCACTGAGCCACAACCCCAGATATTTTTAGAGAAGGGGTCTCGGTAATTTTCGGAGGCTGGCTTCGAACTCGCGATCCACCTACTCAGCCTCCTGAGACACTGGGATTAGTGGCGTGCACAGCCGCATTCGGCTGAAACGTCTCAGTTTTGCGCTGTTGATGAAACCAATCTGGTAATATAGGCGTTGTAATTTCCATGTTCTCTATAATGTTCAAAGGTTTTCTTCCCTTTGTAACTTGGGAAATTCAAGTCTTGTTTCAGTTTCCCATTCCACGAGATATGGTAACTCTAAGAAAATCTCCTTTCTGTTTCCATGTAGGGCACTTAACCTTTTACTTTCTTTCTTCTTCTTAAGTGTCCCTTCTGGGGCCTGCATCCTGCCCCTCCCAGCCCAAGCCAGCTGGGGGCGGAGGAGAGAGATGGAAGAAGACCCCAGCTGTGACTCCTCCCCCACAGCCCACCCCTCCCAGCCTAACAACTCTCCGAGGGGGAAGCGCCCGAAGCACTTGCGCCTCTGGCATTCGGGCTCGAGCCCAGAACGGGGCGGGCTGCACCGCTCTAGAACCGTTGGGGGCTGCTGGGAGGCAACCATCTCCTGCGATGCGGCTGGGTTAGCCCTTTCCTCTGGCCCAGCAGACTGAGGTGGAAGCCGGAGAGTGAGGTAAAAAAATGAGGCTACGGTTGGGATGGCGTCCCTGCCGTCCCTCAGCCTGCTCTCGTCTCCAGCCGGGTGAACCAAGTCCTATGAACTCCTCCCGGGGCCACGCAGCCTCTGCTGTCTGTTCCCAGGAACAGAACACCTTTTCCCGTAGGCAGTTCCACAAATATTTGTTCTACCCACGTTTCCTCCCAAAGCCACCCAGCCTAGCACCCAGCACTGGCCGGAATCTGCCTGCAAACTTCCCGCTAAGACCGCAGGGCGAACCCGCCCCTCCCCCGCCCCCCCGTGGGTCTCGCTGACAGCTCACCGACACCTTTTTCTTTTGACAGACTAAAAAAAGCTTTCTCAGTCCATTCAAACTGTTCATTACTCCTGGTGAAAGTGAACTCTATGTCCTTCTTTGTGGGATTTCTTCACCCTGAGTGATCACTTTATCCCTCACCCCTGCCAATTTGAAAGATGAAAGAATCAATTCTGAATAGAAAGGCTTGTATGAAACATGAGCACTTCCAAACACACTCTTTTCCAGATGATATTCTAAGTAGTATTTCATATTTCAGAGCCAGAAGTATAATATGGTGGCCACTGAAACCTCAGTTGTTGTTTCCTTTCTCTTGGTCTTTAAAAAAATTTTTTTAGATGTTGATTATTTTATTCATTTATTTATTTCTGGTGCTGAAAATTGAACCTAGTGCCTCACACAAGCTACCCAAGTGCTCTATCACAGTGCTACAACCCCAGACCCTGGTTGCAATCTTGTCTGCAACACATCTAGTATTTCCCATTCTATACATTAACCATGGTGTGGCCGAGATGGCCTTTCCACCAAGGAGGAAAGATTCTGGCTTGTTTTATTTACTGTTCATCTTTGTCTAAAAGTGCCTTTTGGACATTCAGGTAATCTCCAAGTTTTGAAAACCAATAACCTTTCCTGGGGAACTGGGTAGGTGTGGAGAGAACATTCTCTGTTGAGGAAGGAAACAGTGTAGAGTCTTTCTCAAGTATACTAGAAAAAGCTTAGTACTTTGCCTTTGGAAAAGAAGAAAATCTAGTGCTTGGTACACCCATAGTCAGTAGTCTTAGTGTATATGGGAGAAATAGGGAGTGAACATGTGTGCACACATGAATTTGTGAGTAATCATGAACATTCCAAATGATCTTAGCTAGGCAGGACAGGAAAAGACCACAGGTCTTTTGTAAGTGTGCAGTGAGAAGAATACGAAAAGATTTGGAATGATGTGTATCATATCTTCTCACAGAACTGCAACCACAATCTATTAGTCTTTTCTACTTAAAAAGGAAATAAAATGTCTGCCCAAGTTGCTTTCTTTTAGGAAAGGCATTGTATTTGTTAAAACACTGCCAAGCATCTGGTTTAAAGAGGATTGGTGGGAAATAGACATTATGTGACTAAATAGAGACTTTATCCACCCCTTCTCCTGTTTTGGTTCTCATTTAATTATATTAGCCATTTCATTTCTGGGATGACAAGGGGGCAATGCTAAATTCACAATGCATGCATCCTGGGATTTAAAAAGAAGTTGGATTTTTTAAACGGGAAAGCAATGGGGCTAGGTATGTAGCTCAGTGGTAGAGCACTCCAAAAAAAAAAAAAAAAAGGAAGTGATGTTCTGAACTAATAACACAGGCCCCCTGGCTTCTCTACTATAAACACTGCTTTATGTCCCACAAGCCCAAGGAGGATAATTGTCATAAAGTAGGATCTTTTGTTATAACCACCTTATTCATGTAAATCACATACTTAAAGAATGAAAGTGCAAATAAGAAAAAGAGAATGAGATATGTGGATGTTAAGTAGAATGAAAATATAATCAGAGTGTACCAAAAAGAGGTTGTTCAAAGAAAGGTGAGTGGACAAAGTCAATTTTAGCAGGACTACAAAGAATGGTAAAGACGTGGATGAGTAAAGGGAGGGTGGTATGGTAGGTGAGGGAAAGGGCACTGGTAGGGTGCCTTTAAGTGGGGACACAGGGACATACAGTGTAATTTATTGGCTAGAAGATCAGGTCCAACAAAATACTGTTTTTTTAAAAAAAGCAAAGACAAAAGGAAGGAAAATATGTCTTGGTTGTAATGTTGTATTACCCTGTGGTACCTTTCTCTACAATGTCCCCATGTCCTGAGGTCTATGTTTAATATCTTTCATTTATTATGTTGGAAAATGGCAAGTATTCTGAAGAATGGATAGATACATAGCTAGTCTAAGAAAATTTCAGTGGTGTTAAACCTGGAGACATTTATCTGGCTTTAATTGTTACCCATTTGATGATTGCAAAGTCTTTAAAGCTACCACTCTGTGATGGCAGAATTTCAAACCTCAGTAGAGAAAATATTTTGGAGTGAAGCATCCTTGAAATAACTACCAAATATGATCGTGGCCACTAGGGAGTTTTAAATTAGACTAAACTAATATATATATGCACTCTCCAATAGAAATTTATGCAGTGATGTAAGTATTCTATTTACACCTACCCTGGTCAGTATAGTAGCACTCACTACATGTGGCTATTATGCACTGGAAATGTGGTGGGTGTAATTAAAGAATTGAATTTGTAAGTTTACTTACTCATAATTAATTTAAGTAACCACATGTGGCTAGTGGTTACCATTTTGGACAGCACAACTTTCCATAAGGACCAGCCTGGCTCCTTGCCTTGAGGTGGGGAGGAGGTGGCTTATCCCTTCTCACAGATGGAATCACTTAGGCTTTAGCTATAGGCATAGTTACAACCCTGGTTTTGCTACAAATCTAGCTGTTGGTAGTTACATAAAAATGTGCATAGGTAGTTCTGTTTATGTAGGTTGTCTGTAGAACACCCTGGAAGAAACTAGGTAGAAAGAGTCTACTGTTTGGTGTTTTGAATGCTGGATTATGTAATATGTTTGTTTCCTTTGCAAATTGTAAGTGTGCCTCAGAATCACCTGGAGGGCTTGCTTATACACAGATGCTGGGCCCCACACAAGTGATTCTGATTCAGTAGATCTGTGGTGGAGCATGAGAAATTGCATTCTTAATAAGTTCTCAGGTGACTCTACTGCTACCACACTGAAAACCAGGTGAGTATTGGATCAAGCCCCCATTTCATGTCCTGACTCTAAGAACTATTCTTGCCTTAATCCTTCCTACACGAGTCCTTTGCTCCCTTAAAAATAATCCAGTTTCTCTGGGCCAAGAAACTTTTTGACTCTCACCAGTTTCCCCAGGGGCTGAGCTGGAGCAGTACCTTGAACTCTAGTACCTGTGACCTCTCTTCCAGACCTCCCTATTGTTGACCAGTTAATTGCTTGCTGGAATCTTGCTGTGTTCTTTCTTTGATGCCAAATTCTTCTTGACCTTTAATGGTAGCTGTCCCTGGACTTCTCTTTCCCCAGATGCTCATCTATCAGGACTGTCATGTTGCTTACTGCTGAAACTTAACTAAATACTTGTCTCACCCTCACAGGTCTTGCCAGTGGCCTAGCTTCAGCTTCCCACCTGGCCTGTCTTTTGCCAGCTGAACTCCAGTTTTGACACACTATCAGTATAGAGTACCTGCCAAGGGAATTGACCTGGTTTGGCGTTTTCTCCACCAACAACCCGAGTGAAGTCATTAGATGGCTCGGTGCTTTGAGTGATGTTATCCAAAATGCCTTCTTCAGCTTCAGTAGAATTCTCATAGTCCATATTAGAAAAAATAGTCTCAGCACGGGTGAGCTTCTTAGAAGTGTATGACACAGAAATTCTTCCACATGGAAATGGCACTAGAAAAATAGAAAAAAAATTAGTATTCCAATATTTTTCATTGGCTAATGGAAGATATATTATGAAAATGGAGAATGAGGCCGATCCCTGTCACTTCTGAGAAGCAGGCCCATCAACATTAAAAAATCTAATCAATGAATATAGTTGATTGCATTATTTTCATGGAAAGTTTTCAAAACCTTCATGGAAAGAACATTTGGCTCCAGAATCCATCATCTTGATGGAAATAGGTGTTCTGGAATCAAATTTGGTAGGACTTTATAAAAAGTCTAATGACTTTGTTTAGTTTCTTTACTAACGTTGTACTTCCAGGTGCTGTCCCTGAATGGAAGTTGAGTGCTTTGTGCCATTAGATTAATGGGACTAATTAGTGAATGGCACTTCTGCTGGTTATCATTAACAGGATTTCTTGACTAGAATGCCCTCTAGTATCCAAGGTGGATTTCATGTGTTTGTTGAAGTGAGATCATTTTGGTTCAATTACCTGGCTGTCAATTATTAACCAAAAAGTTTACTAATATGATTATCACAGCTGTATTTACCTGGAACCTGAACACCTCTTTGAGTTGGTTTATTCCCTGTCCCCTGGCCCCCAATCATCTACAGCTACACTGGGGACTACCAAAATGGAAATTTGTAGTCAAACAAAGTCACCTTATACTTCATTTTCATTTCTCACTTTCCTCCTAGCCACTTTCCTTATAACAGACATTTCTATAGCAACCAGCTGTGGGAAAGTATCATGAAGGCAGCATGTGGTTGAGAAAACAGGAAATTAGTTTCAAAATACTTATGTATAAATATACATGATCAACAATGGTGAGAGAAAAGGGACCATTATCTTTGAAAAGGCAGAAAAGCTTATTTTAGGTTTGGCCTACTTATTCTGCTAAAGCAAAGGCTACATTCAAATATAACTCATAATAGTTGGAAGTGGCTCTCAATTCTTTTTCTCTCTTATAGAAGGGCTTATAAGGGCTTAGCTACTATGCCATTTGTCTACACTGGAAAGTAGCTTTTTAAAGTTAAATACACAAGTGTGTGTGTACACTCATATATATACACACACTCCTCCCAGGAAGGAAAGCTTTAAGGCAGTATATGTGAAGAACCAGGCAGAAGATTAGGTGGACAGGCCCTAAAGCATTAGAGATTCTTTATTTTAGTTGCAGTATGTATATTCCTGGATTCTGGTCCTTACTTTAATTTCCTCTGCCTGATGCATTGCTGAATTAGGTATTGAACCCAATTACATAGGAATGGTGCATTATTTAATGCACCAATTTAATAAAGTAGCAGGCTTTAGAAATGCAAAAGAAATTATATGTAGCTTGCTTCAAAAAAGTGTCTCATTCATCAAATATAATTAATCGTGCAAAGCCTAATGTTTTTCAGAACAAAGTTTCTACTGCCTTTGTCTTCAGAGAAGAGCAGCATGAGAGTGGAGTACAGATGTGCTGAATATACCAATCAACTGTCAACGTGGTGGCATGGTCAGCATGACTGAGAAACATTGCTTTATTCCTTCTGTAACATAGTGCTGATCAGCCTAGCAGAACTTAAACAGTTAGTTGCTGGAAACATTCTGACACTCTGTATAAACTCAGCTTAAGGCTCAAAGTCAGGAAATAACTTTCTTAGAATACACTAGTCAGGCCCTGACAGTCTCATGCTTAAAATTCACCAGCCTTCTACTAGAAGTCCATCACTCAATTATTTGTGAATCTTTTCTGGTACAGTACTATATTACTACATTAATTTGACTTGATGAATTACAAATATATACAGAAATCTCACAAATCAATTGCTTTGTGATTTAAAGGTCAGAGAAAAAAAATTGACACAAAAAAGACTGTGGATAATAACAAAATTTATATTTAAATTGATGATATAATTTTGAAAAATAATTTGTCCATTTCATGCTATTGATCTTTTGTTTGATTTCAAAGGAAGTACGTGCAAGTAGTGATTAAAATTAGGGAGTTAAAATGCCAAAGGTTAAAGTATATGTTTTCTTAAAAAAAAAAAAAAAAAAAAAAAAAAACTTTTTTAGATTTTGACCTGCTGGTTCACATGACTTTTGGTTTTCTGCAAGTCGGTATCCCTCAGTACAGGAACAAACCACCTTACTATCAGTGCCTGTTTTACAAAACTGCTTGCATCTGCCATTCTTGATGTTGCATGTTGCATCTGGAAGAAAGCAAAATAGCACCATTTAACACGCCTTTCTGAAAAGTACATGGAACTACTGACTCACATATGGGTCAAATGTAAGCTGGGAGTATTTATGGTGAGAAGCTTGGGAGCCTGGAGTAAATAACGGGAAGAAAAATAATATTTTCAGGCATAAAATAGTGGCAGTAGTATTTAGATTTGGTGTAAAGCTAAATGACTAGATATTCTATTTTCATTAAATCATGGACTGCAATTAAAATCCTACTTATTGAAATGTAACACAAATTCAGAAAAGAATATAAAACTTTTGTATGAATTTTCACACAGCAAATGAATCTGTTTAAATGCTGCACAGATCAATACATAGGACATTATCAAAACCCCCCAAATTCTCCTGACACTCCCTCCTAATCACTCCATCTTTCTTCCTTTTCAAAAGTTACCAGTTCCTGAACTTCATATAAATACTCACAATATGTACTCTTCTGTATCTTTCATTTAACATTTTAACTATAGATTCATCTATGTGATTTTGTATTGCTACAGTTTATTCACATTGTTGTGTAGTATTCCATCATTACTATTACAACTTTATTCAGCCATTCTACTATTAATAGATATTTGTGTTGTTTTCAGTTTTTGGCTTTTATATATAATGGTTTAATAAACATTTTGTACATATATTTGGTAATATAAGAATGTGATTTTACTGGATTTATGTGTATCAGTCAAATTATTGGATCATATGTTTAGGTTTAGTAGATACTGCCAAACAATTTTCTGAAGCAATTGTATAAATTTAAATTTCTACCATCAGTGTATAAGAGTTCCAGTGTGTGTGTGGCAGGGGGGGGGGGGCGCAAATATCTTCTTTCACTCTGTGACTTGACTTTTCTCTCTAGTGTCATTTTATCATTTTTTTCCTTTGTGGTGCATACTTTTTATATGCTATTTAAGAGACTTTTTGCTTATCCCAAGTTCATGAATTTAAAAACTTAGTGTTTTATGGTTCACATATAGATCTTGAATCCACTTGTATTTGATTATGATACATGGTATGTTGTAGGGATGTATTTGCCCTTCTATGGATATATAATTGATCCCTCACTATTTGTTAAAAGAGCAATCATTCCCTACAGTGGCACCTCTGTCATAAATCAAGTTTCCATATGAGTGTATGTATGTTTCTGTACTCTCTGGTGTTCCATTGATCTATTGTCTACCCTTGTGTTAATACTACACCATCTTAATTAACATGTCTCTCTAACTCTTGTAGTAGTACTTTTACTACTACAATTTTATTCTTTCTCAAAATTGTCTTGGCCCTTTGTATTTCCATGTATTTACATTTTAGAACTAGCTTGGTAGTCCTACTCCATGTATACAAAAAATATGCCTGCTGGAATTTTGATTGGTGTTGCACTGAATCCATTAGGAGATAATTGTTATATTTACTGTATTGTATCCACTAATCCATGAAGATAGCCTATCCATTCATTTATTTAGATCTTCCTTAATTTTCTCAAAATGTTCCATATTTTTGTGTAGAATTTTTTCACATATATATTACTTTCATTCCTAAGCATTAATTTTTTATTCTATTATAAAACTTCTTTTTAGTCTTGGTTTGACCATGTAACCAAGCTTGGACAACTGGATGCTCCCATCTGAGCCTCTGAATTTGGAGTGTATGATCAAAGAAGTAGACACATCATAGAGCTCAAACCCAGGGCAGAAGGGACACCCCTAATCCAACTGTCCTGTGTATGACTTCATTGTATTTCTTTCCTTCATTTTAACATTGTTCTATACTGTTTTCTGAGCACAGTTCTCCAGACTTCTCATAAATTCTGTAAATTCTCCTTCCAATATATTTATTTTTTGCCTAAGTTTCAAAAAAAATCTAGTCAGAACATATCCATATTTTACAAATAAGGAAAATTAAAAGTTCAGAGAGTTAAATTGATATGCAGTTCCATCCAGATTTAAAAGCTAGTGACCTTAACCAATACTCTGTGATATCGCCTTTATTTTGTTATTTATTGTTTGTTTGATCCATTTTGTCAACAGAATCATTTTTACTAGCTCCACATTGAAACGCAAAATATCAGTATAAGAAAGCTACATGTGCATACATTAACATTCAATCTTCTCCCATAAATACCTGGAAACTGATATTTACTAACATGTAATCATGTACTCAGTGCTTTTAAAAATATTATTTAAATTTGTTGGTGACAATTATATTGCATACACATGTAAATTTGTATTGCATACTACAGAAAATAAAATATATCAGGTAAATAAAAAAACAAACTTCTTTTTAAATTCTTGCTGTATATAGGCACATAATCAATATTTGTATGTTGACTATATGTCCAGCAGCCTTTCTATATATATTATTTCTTTGAATTATTTAGGTGCTTTGGGTTTTCTATATGTGCAATCATTTTTCTGAAAATTACACTTTTATTACTTTTAGCAAACAAGAAAAGCAGCAACAATCTCTTAATTTTCTGTAGATACTGCCGTCTACACTGAGGTGTAGTATTTGTTGCTTAGTTATTCTAGAAGTTGCTTGGCTTCCAGAGCTAGCCAGTTTGACATGTTACCTCCAGAAGTAGAAGCTGGAAATCTCTAGAAATAGCAGTGTTGGGGAGTCCATAAGGGCCTATAAGCAACGTGAAGATAAGTATAAAACACAAGGGGACAAAATAGGATCTTTTTAAATGCTAAAGATATTATGTGTTGACAGTGCTAAGCATTCCATTCTTACTCTCCTGTGAAATCTCCCATATTAATATGAAATATCTTTCTTTGTCTCCTGTAAAGCTTTTCATCTTGGATTCTATTTTGTCTGATGTTAGAATTGCTTTGCTGGTTTTCTTTCTGTTAACATTTACCTGATAATTCTTTTTTATATCCATTTCTTTTAGTCTCCTGGTGTAATTTTATTTTAGGGATCTCTTTTGTCAACAATATGCAATTAAGTTTTAACTCCATACTGAACATTGTCATTAATAGTTTAGTTGAACCCCAATTCACATTAATTGTGATTCTTAGTATAGTCAGTTTATTCCTGCCATCTTATTTTGTATTTTCAGATTATTGTGCTTTCTTTTGTTTCTCCTATGCCATCTCAATAACAGAAAGTAGCATGGTTCAGGGCTTACTAGTGAGACCTGCTGAGTTAAGAAAAGTAGGCTCTGCCCTTAGGCCTCTATCTCTAGCACAGTATCAGAATCCAGTGAATATAAGACACCTTCTACTTATATACTCAACTACTGTACACCTTTCAATAGAAATGCTTAGAAATGCTTGGTGCAGTTATCATGGACAGTTTGACAATGAGTGACTATATTAGATGCCTCCGTGTACCACCTTTATTACCACCTCTCAACCTTATCTGTCTTTTACTAGTACTGTAGTGATGAGCTCTACATGTACTTCTACTGACTTCACATGAGAGCAGCTTTGAATCATCTTGGCTTATATCTGGTCTAGGTGCCTTTCACATCTTGCCTTGGGGCTTCCCTGATGAGGTGTGGGATGCTATATGACTCTCTGGGTGCCCAAGCATACCCAGTTGGGAAATGGTAATGTCCTATAGGCTGAACTTTTGACCAATGGGAGAGATGCTGATGGATAAATTATTTCACCTCTTCTTGTCTTTCAGGTGGACTATCCTGAGATCAGTGCACCTGGCTTTTGAAGATAATCCCAGGAGATCCAGCAGACAGCTACAGTTATAGGCAAGTAATCGTATTACTGATTCTCTTATTGGTTCTCCTTTCCTCACAGACTCACTCTCCTGTCCCTAACACTTTCCCCCTAGGACTTCACATTCTAGTAAATAAACTTATGTTAAGAGGTCCTTTATTATGGGGGAACTCAAGCTAGCAGAGTGACTATATGGTATTGGAGAATATCATGAATTTTAAGTGGTAAATCTAAATTTTAAAACTCTCATTTATATATGCTAGCACACAGCTAAATTAATAATTAATTCATAGTCCTTACTGATACTTTAGGAAATAAAGGGAGGCAAATCAGCTCTCATCAGGTGAACAAAGGTACCAGTCTGAGCTTTAATCTTTGCTACCAATAATCCACCAAGTGTGTGATCCAAAAAGATGACATTTTGTCTTTTTTATTTACTTATTTTTAGGACTATTTTTCTTAACAAATGCTGATAATATCCCTAGCTCTTTGCTTGTTTCTGGCTATCATATTGCTGCTACAAGAAATGCTAAGGTGTTCAGCCAAATCAAATACCACCTGTGGAAAGTGTTCAGTCAATATGAGATTGTGATAAGTTAACAGAGGTGGGTGGTAGGAGTAGCCTTGTTTTGTCCCAGGGAATGCACAATGGGAATGAATAAATGTGGTGTGTTTTTTTTTTTTTTCCCAATTCCCATTCTGTGTCCTTGACTAAGTAACCAGACCTCTTGATCATTGGAAAAATGAGGAACATTTGTCATTGCCCTTTGTGAACCTGAATGTTACTGCCTCTCTTGATCTCTGACTTGGTTTGTGCATGTGATGGGAAATATTGCTGCCTATTCAGCATTTTTTTAACCTTCAGGTAAAAGGCTCAGGATTCTAGAAACAGAACAATAGCATAAGGAATTCTGGATCAATAAAGAGTCAATAAGGTAGGACCTAAGAAACAATCAGAATGGCACTCATTCATCAGTTATTGAGCACTTAGATGTCACATACTATGTTGAGCATGGGTTCTCTCTGATCTTGAAGTTGGTCTCTGTGCCTAGACATTCTGTTGAAGAGCATCAAGCTCATCACTACAGTACAAGCATATTACCATGAACACTTTCTAATTCCTTTTGTGCCTACTGATAAAAGTTATCACATTCTGTTTTATTTTACCCTGCTTTCACCTTCCCTGGTATATCTACTGATGTGCCAAGAAAAACTTGAACAAAAGATTTTCTATTTAACACGTTTACCACAAAATGGTTAAATTCAACATTCTTCAGTTAAATTCAACATCCCTACCACCGCACAGAAATACACAGTAAATAAGAAGTGTCTGTGATGTGCTGCAAAAGTGAAAAAAAACCCAAAACCAAATATTTATTGCTTGTGAGTTTTTTCTTTTAATCCCTATCTTACTGTGGGAAAATGCTTCTTGTATTCTTTAGAAGTGGCAGAGATGACTGAATTCTTATGGACCTTGATCTCTTTGAAAGAGATTTGGATTTGATGTGCAGCTGGGAACATATGGAGGTCTTTATTCTAGTCAAAAGGACCCAGTAACCAATTAATTGCTATTCTTCTAACTAGAAATCATGCCCTCAATGTTTGTACTTTTCTCCCCTGACGAAGATCTTGATTGCAAGGGAAAAAGAAAACAAAAAGGTCTTGACAATGGAAATCTCCTTTTCTTTTCCAAGACAGGGTAAAGCAAGACACTTGGGGCACAGATACTCTATAAACTGTGCTATCTAGTGGCTTTTGAGATTAGTCTTTAGTTCAGCTGGAGGCAACAAGCTAAAATGGGAGTTTGTATATACTTTTGTTGTTGCTTTCTTAGAGTGTCTGAGATAAAGAACATTTTGAAAGAATTCCCAATTTGTTTGTGAACTAAAAGAGCTGAAAAGATTTTTCTAAACCTTGATCAGATTGATTGGGTGAAATCAATATACCATAGAGGCCAAGTGTTGTGTTGGCTGCGGAAATGTGGGAACTTGAAAGTATTGAGACAGTGCCAGTTGTAGACTTAGCATTTTTTCTCTGTGGGCCATGACCTCACACATATAGTAAATACGTTTACAGAAATTTTGTGCTTAGATTTACTTACATTGCTTGAAGTGATTCTCTTTCTTTTTTAAAAACATCTGTATATTTAAGCTAGATATAGACATTTATGTTTTCAAGATAGTCTACTACCACATAGTACCTGAGACTAATTGAGTTATTCATTCCCTCAGCTCTAATAGTTTTTTTTTATTTAAGCTGATAATGAATGACTACTCTAAAGATTTCTGTAGGTTTCCATAATAGCAGGATCAAATTTATCTAGATAAATCTGAATTTGAAATTATAATCTTTCAGATGAAAATAGCACTTTAGATATGTTAAACCCATGAACACACCACAGGAAAGTTAACCCAGAAATTGGCTTGTCTCCACACTGGGAAACCTAAGGGAATGGGAGTCCACCACAGTTTATACTAATTCATCCACCTGCATTTGCTATTTTCTTTCATTTTACCTGCTTTTTCCCTGTTACATTTTTCTTTTCTTCTAAGATCTTTTAGATCTTAAAGGAAGATGATCAATCAATTTCTCCTTAGTACTGAAAGGATTTCTGAACAACATTTCAGGTGACTTTTTCCACCTTTCTCAATAGGACAAGTGCATTTCATTTCATTTTATTCCTTTTTCATCTGTCAGGTGGCTGGCTATGATGCCTTAACAGTGTCCTGCTAATTTTCTACTCTTTGACAGTAGTCATGTAGCTTGTGGTATCAGATTCTTTCCCTGGGATTGCATCTCTATTCTTCTAGAGTTTTAGAGTAGAAAGAGTATTCTTTTGCAGAATTGTGTGCCAATCATGGTCACAATACCAGTATTATTGCATCCAGAGCTAATAATCAATTAGGTAAAGGGCTTTGTTCCAGTTACCAAAACCTGAAAAATATTCTAGGGTATAAGTATATAATAATCCTAGATTTTTTTATGTGACTAGTATGGTCAAACTTGTGAATGACCTGTAATTTTTGTCAACAAGTTTAATATGTGAAGTGGTCTGTATGTGTAGAGCAGTTCCTATTGTATGGAATACTTGGCCTATCATACCACTAGTTTTGTATGTAATTGACTTCTACTGCCTAGGCTGATAGCAATTTAGTCATGAGTTCAAACAATTTTATGGGTTCAATTTTCTTTGAGTTTCGAGCATAGTTGTCAGAAGCACAGATTTTAATCAAACTGAAATTCAAGTCAAGCTCAACCACTTATGCTGAACCACTTGAGCTCTTGGAGCTGTAGTTTTCTCATGTGCAACAGTGAGGATAATAATGGTACTAACCACGTATGGTTGTATTGAGGATTAATAAATAAAGTGAGTGAAACAATATTATCATCTAATGTTAGTGACCAGATAGTGTTACTGCTCTGAATATAATTGCTTGAGCTTATATCCTGAAAACTGTGACTACAGATGAAGTAAATATTTATAATCTTTGAAAGTTTTTTTTTGTACTGGGGGTTGAACTTAGTAGCACTTTGACACTGAGCTGCATCCTCAGCCCTTTTTATTTTTTATTTTTTTTTTTAATTTTGAGACAGGGTCCTGTTAAATTGCCCAGGCTGGCCTTGTGATCCTCCTGCCTCAGTCTCCTGAGTTGCTGGTATTACAGGTATATGCCACTGTACTGAGCCTGAAAGTATGTTTTTAAGAGAAGCTTATGATACATAACCATTGCATTTTCCAGTTTTATCTGGTTTCAAAAGGAAACTTTGAACCACGAATAATCAAAAAATAATTACTCACCTAATTCACAGTTCTTCCCTTCAAATCCAAGTCGACACCAACATTCATAGGAATTAATGTCATCCTTGCAACTGCCACCATTTAAACATGGATTGGACTCACACTGATCTCCATCTTTGAGACAGGTTAAGAAATGGAAAATTATCAGATAAATTGCTTAGAGTGTCCAGTCCTCCCCTATGGAGATAAGAGTCTGATTTTTGGACCAGAGCAGGATTACTGACTTGGAAGCCAGTTGATGCTTCTGTCTTACTTGGTTTCTAAAGCACACTCCAGCAAAGGTTTTCAGGTTAATACTGTCCCAGGAAAATGCCCCAACGAAGGCATGTACATAGTTTATGCAATCCAAGGAAAGAGGTAGAAGAATATCTTTGTATAAGAAATGTACCATATCAGCATAGGATGAGAAGAATTTTCAGTCCTTTCTTATAGAATTACAGCAGTTAATTCTACATCAAAGCAAATCATTTCAATGAATATTAGCTACATATCATACAAAGTCTGATTTATTGCAGGTCTTGCTGAGCAAGCTGAGCTAGATAATAAACGGTGCTTGCACTCAAGGAACTGGTGACCTAGGCATGGAACAAATGTATTATCATTTAACCTTTAAGTATCATATATAGTAAGGGTTCAAGACAATAGAAAAGATGCGGGAAGCATCTCTTACTACTTAAAGATAGTTTACCGTCTTACAAGTTAGGTTCCAAATGATTTAGGTAAAGTGAAAAACAATTTTCAGTATATCATATGGAATTTTAAAAAGATTCTGCAAGGTACTTTATTTATGCATAGATTAGTTACTTCCATTATACCTTTTCTGAAGTTTCTTGAAAGTCTTTGAAGACACTGGTACTAAGAAAGTAGGAGGAAGGCATAAGCAAGAGGGGAAGGATCAGGATGAGAAGGGACTCTGTGAGTCTGATTTCTTCATTCTCTGTCTCAGTGCATACTTCCAAGGAAGCTTCAGGAGAAAAGAATGAATACAAACAGAAGGGAGAGTGGGTGCACACTTTGAGCTCAGGAAAAATAGCCCTGAGGAAAAAATAGGAGCTAGATCAGTAAGACTCGATATATGAGTAAGAAAAGAGTAAGAGACAATGATGACAATAAGAGCCAAAGAAAGAGAAAAAGGGAAAATCAAAGAGAAACTTCTAATTATTAATTATACTTCAAAGCAAAACTCTCTGACATCCAATGTGTGGATGCCTGCCCATTCTCCCTCCTCTCTGATGAAGCATGTATTCAGGTTCCATTAATTAAGGGACTAATATCCCTTTCTCAGAAGTAGTCACTCTGGAAAATCTGCTTGCTGTAAAAATGAGACCTTGTCCCCTCTGCCCCTTGATCCAATGTGCTCTTGCGTGGATACTTCAACTTGTTCCAATTCTATGAAAACAAAATATGTTATCTCTGGTTTATTATTATTAATGTTCAGAACTGGTCTAAAAAACGAGCTACATTTGCACTTTATATTATAGACCAACAAATCTGAATTATTTAGGATGTTTCACTGAAAGGGTCTGGGCTTGCAGCCAGCTACACAGGAACTTGTTTGCTGAGACATATCTTTAAAATGAGTGTCATTTTATCCTGCATTTGGTCCTCTTTTAGGTCCTTGTCTGTGTGTACTTTGGGCCTAGACAAAGCCACGGTCAGTAGGGGTCAAAGACAACAAGAGACAAGGCCTTGCCAAGTGACAGATTCCCATTTAAGACTACTAGGTTCTTGTTTAATGAATAACTGTGTTTAGATTTGAAGGCCATGAAGTATAATAGAAAGCAAGGGATTGGGTTCTTTTCTGTGCTTCATGACTTCTAGCTGGGTGACCTTTGGCAAGTCCCTTTACCTCCTTAAGCCTCAGTATCCTTCTATGCAGAATGGAATTCATAATGCTTTGCTCACAGGGATGGTGTGAGGGTTAAATGTTATAGGAATGCTATAAATTGCTTCTGAAAATAGCATTCTGTAAAGTTTCTGACAGATGCCAATTAATGTGATTGGGTGGTGATTCTTCTTCAACCAAGTCTGTGCATGATGAGTTAAAGGCAGAGAACAGGACAGCAGTGAGGAGCCTGGATTCTTGCTATATATGAGAAACAGCATAGGCTACTTTAGTGGTGGTTTGGAATCCCAGCTGCATGTGAAAAGAGACATGGAGTTTGTTTCCTTTTAGTTCTTGTTTTTGTTTTGTTTTTTGGTAGACAAAGTATTAGTGACAGAAGCATATCCTTGATGTTTCCCAGGTATCTAAGCCTGAGGTATAGCAAACAATGTACCTGTGTGACCTAGAAGGCAGGCACCCAACTTCAAAATATGCTACTGAAACTGTGGTATATGTGGGGTGGGCAATGAAGGAATCACGGGGATTTAAATACAACTAAGAATATTGTTTTTTGGAAAAACAGATGTTGATTTGCTTTTAAAAATATGTCCCAAGAGTCAAAGTTTTAAATTCATTAGGAGTAAAGCATTAAAAAGACTTATTTGGATGAATGTTATGGGGAATATTTCATAGAAACAGTCATGGTAGCATTCATCCCTAAGAATAAGGCAAGATAGATAAAGCAATGTAACAGAGTGAATGTTGTCTTTGCTCATGACTTGAAAACAAAAACAGGGAAATTATGAGTTAGGAAGGTATAAAAATATCTAATAATGTCTTCAGAATGGGAACTGTAGCAAATAGAAAGGGACTTGAATTAATGGACCTCAGTGAATTTGTGATTCAGGCTAATTTGTTCCTGACCATGAAGATGGTTTTAGGTAAGTCAATCTGTGAGGCTTCCCTTGCCTCAAAATCCTGCTGGCTTTTAAGTTAGTTTTAAAATGAGTTGTTATTAAGGTATATCTTTTACTCCTTTTCTTCAATTTTGTAGACAAATATTTACTGAGTGCCTCTGTTCAAGATATTGTTCTAGGTGCTAGGAATATATAAATAAATGAAACAATTGAATCCCTGCCAAAATGAAGCTTGCATTTTTGGATGGGGTGGGAGGGGAGTGGAGGAAATCAAGGATAAATAGTATAAGTAAGAAAATGATACATCACATGGCAAAAAGTGTTCCAGGATGAGTATCCCTAATCTGAAAATCTAAAATCGAAATTGCTTCAAAATCCAAAATTTCTTGAGTACCAACATAACACCACAAGTGGAAAATTCTACCCCATAAAACTTTATTTCATGCACAAAATGGTTAAAAATGTTGTATGAGATTACCTTCAGGCTATGTGTATAATGGTATATGAAACATAAATGAGTCCTGTGTTTAGAGTTGGGTTCTACCCCTGAGATATCTCATTACATATAAGCAAATATTCTACAATCTGAAAAAAAATCCTGAATCTGAAACAAACATTTTGGATAAGGATTATTCAACCTTTAGTACTAAAAATATAACAGGATATTATTGTCTGGAGTGGTGGGATTCTTGGGGGTAGGTTGAAGTATTAATAGATGATTAAAGTAGGCCTCATTGAGATGGTGACATTGGGGCAAAGACCTGAAGGAGACTAGGGAGTGAGCCGAGGGCAAGCTAGGACAAGCCAGCTAAAATAGCCAGGTAAAGTCTCTAGTGTGGGAGCATCATAGAGTGAAAAAGGAGCCCAGTGTGCAAGGTGGAGAGGATGTTAGAGGGGCACGCACACAAGGGTGATGGTAGGGGGCTGAGGTTGTAACTCAGTGGTAGAGTGTTTGCCTAGCATATGTGAGGCACTGGATTCTATTCTCAGCATTGCATATAAATGAATAAAATAAAGGTCCATCAACAACTAAAAAATATTTTTTAAAAAAGGGTGATGGTGGAGGAACTTTGTAGGCCATCATAACGAGGAAGACTTTTTTTTTTGTACTGGGGATTGAACTCCGGGGCACTCAACCACTGAGCCACATCCCCAGCCCTATTTTGTATTTTATTTATAGATGGGGTTTCACTGAGTTGTTTAACACCTTGCTTTTGCTGAGGCTGGCTTTGAACTTTCAGTCCTCCTGCCTCAGCCTCCTGAGCTTCTGGGATTACAGGCATGCACTACGGTACCCTGCTACAAGGAAGACTTTTAAGACTTTTCAATTAGCATTCTCTGAATCTCTACTGAGGATTATAAAATATTATTCAGTCCCAAGATCCAATCACTTGAGTTTCTTCCTTCCAGCTTCCTGGGGTGGAATGCTGATCTTTGTGAAGCCCTGCAGAGAGTTTACTTATCTTCCAGCTGATCCCTCCCACACTGGCATAACCCTGTAGGATATCACTATTCAATCTTGGGTTAAAGAGTTGGATTTATTTTTCTGAGTTGTTTTGACAGAGTTTACTATATGATCTCTTTATTCAGAGAAAAAATGCATAATTGAGAATAAAATGAATTACTTACCAACATATTGCTTCCAAAATTCAGTCTATAAAGAATAAAAAGAGGACAAGTTAATAGTAGTATTTAAAGTGCTTTGATGTTGATTCCTTCTCTTATATAACATTTATAATGTAAATATATGCATGAATGTCATAAAATTCCAAAGAAAAGTTTTTGCCTTTTTTCTTTTTAAAAGGTATTCTGTCTTTGGTCTGCAACTGAAGGATATTATATGGAAATACTCACAGTTTTTTCAGTATTTTCAAAAACTTCTCGGGCTTCTTCAAAACTACACTTTTCTTCTATGCATTCTCTCTCAAGATTCCCTCGAACAAACTCTTCCAATTTTCCTGAATTATACCTCTTTGGCCGGCTCAGAATTTTGGTGGCATTTTCACGATCAAGAAACACTGAAATTTAAAAGAACTATTGTTTAGCTTTAAAAAAAAGAAAACATCATGAAAATTAAATACATCTCTTAAGAAAGGCTTTGTTTTTAATCCAAGTAATCCCAAAGCCAATTTCTCTTTGGGGCATGGAGCCAAAATCTGTGATGCTCCCACAGTATTATATAAACATGGAGATTTAGGAATTAAAATTCAATTTTACTTTTAGTTAAGAGAGCTCCAATAATAAAAGGTCAGATTTCCAACCATATTTGAATTTACTTTGGATGAAAAAGAAAGTTCTCAAATAAGCAGTTAACTTCACACTTTGTCATCACTTGAAAATAGCTCATTGCAGATCCTTGCAAGGTGATCCATCACCCTGGCTGGGCTGTGTTTTCAGGATGCAGTTGCCCAGTGACTTTGCAACAAATATCTCTTGAAGAGCAGGAGCCTAATTGTGGGTTCAGCTGCAAATATGACCCCAATGCCTCTCATTTGATGTTAAAATAAAACCAGTGAATCATTATTATTTTTTAATCTTCAGATACATTACACCTTCAGTTGGCATATGTTATAGAAATTCCAGTGCTGTAAGCATTTGGATTTCAGGATGTGGTTTATTTTAACTGTGATTGCCTAGTCTATAGGGACACTCATAAACTCTGAAGGATTGAGGCCTCCAAATCCTTTCCCTCCTTCTTTCCCTGCCTTTGTCTCTGTCTCTGTGTCTGTCTTTTTCTCTCTCTTTCTCACCCCCACACGTATATATACACACACACACACACACACACATATATATATATATATATATATATATATATATATATATACACATACACTCTCGTATGTGTATGTGTGCATGTATGTAATTAATACTAGTAACTCAAGAATCTGCCTGTAGTTGTTTCTTTCTTTAGGAGATCATGAAGGAAGGAAGGAAAAGGAAAAGAAAGAATGAAGGGAAGAAGGAAGGAAAGGGGAAGATCAAAGGGAAGAAAAAGAAATGAACTAAAGTACCTTATTTTCATAACGTAATGTCTTGATACCCTTGTCCCTTTTAGGCTCACTTTTTTTTTTTTTCTGAATTTAGCCTAGGTTTTTCTCCTCCCCATTACATTTGCCAACTTTCTCAAATTCCCTTCACTCCTTGTAACTGCTGCACCATCCTTGCAATCCCATATCCTAGAACAGTGTAGCCATTTGCCTTTTTCTTTTTCTGAGGCAGCTGAGTACTTAGGGCTATGGATCACCAAATTGCACATGGGTACCATCACATACTGCTGCCTCACAACGCCTCCAGGTCCATCTCTTTACTCAGTAATTCATTTACTTGGCCCTAGGTACTGGTAAATAGAATCCATTTCTGCATTCATTTATAGTGTGGTTGAGTGAAAAAACAGTTTGGAATCAGATCAGACGGACCTGGTTTTGAATCACATATCTGACTCCTATAGACAAGTCACATGATCTCTGTACCTTAACTTTCAGAAATGTAAAATGGGATTAATAGCTATGTAATAAGAGTATTTACCAGGCTGGGGTTGTAGCTCAGTGGTAGAGTGCTTGCCTAACATGTATGAGGCACCTGGTTTGATCCTCAGCAACATATAAAAAATAAATAAATTAAGTAAAGTTATTAAAAAAAGAGTATCTGCCTTACCATATTGTTGACAGGATCAGTTAGATAGCATGTAGACCAGTGTATGTTGGTTGTCTCTCTTTCTCCTATTTCTCTCATCTGGCCCTCCTTTCCTTCTTAATTTTCTCAGTTCTCTTTAGCTCTAATGCACTTTGGCAGCTCTTTTCCTTCCATGTTCCCATCCATATAATGAAAAGACTGTCACAATCAGTAATGACCTTATAAAGGATAATTTTTAACTTATGTATTTCCTGACTACTCTAAAACGTTTCTAACTGTTGATCTCTCCCTTTTCAGGAAACTCTTTCCATGAAAGCCCTCTATTCTGGTTCTTGTCTTTACTCTAATTCTTGTTATCCATCTACCTCTTGAAGCAATTGACTTTCCTTCCTCTGACTGGTCCTTAAATGTTCAGGGCTGCTCCAGGCTTCAGCTGCAGGATTTTAGCTTTTTAACTTAACTTCATACATTGTTGCCAGGGCTGGGGCTAGAGTAAGGTTTACAAGATGTGTAGTGTACAACATTGAAGGAATCCACTCCCACACCTCTAGATATACAAGTGCATTTGTGGCCTATAGGCTTCATTTGCTGTGCCTTAGTTTGGCTCTAACCTTTTCAACAAAATTTATTGAGTACCCAATCAGTACTTCTAGACACTGGATAGGTGCCACAATGTCCACACTCACTCTCTGACTCCCTAGCTTCTTACATACATGTAGCTATAACTGCTGCTTACACCACACTGATTCCTGAATATCCATCTCTAGGCAGATATATCTTCTGAATCCCAGATCATCTTTCAAGCTTCCTAACTGTACACTATAATGTGGCTGGTGATAGCTGATGTTTATGCAGTGCTTCTGTTGTGCTGGATACTTCTCAGTACTTTGCATTCATTATCTCACTTCATCCTCACAACAGTCCCATGAGCTAGGTACTGTCATCTCATTTTTGTAAGTGAGGAAAACCAAGGTTCTAAGAGATTAAGTAATTTGCTCAAGGTACCACACTAAAGCATCAGAGCTAGGATTTAGACTCTGGCAGTCAGACTACAGAATCTGTGCTCTTAGGCACTGTGTTCTTTCTGTGATCACATCAAACTCAAAATGCCCAAGATATGCTCTATACACTTCCCCAGAACTTTCCATAACCCTGTAGTTATTAAATCATATCAGTTCTACTTCCTTAAAATCTGCAAATTCTCTCTTCTCTATACAGCTATTATCCAGATTCCAGCCCTTGTGTCTCAATTAATGAATAATTACAGTAATCTTAGGACTGGTCTCACAGTCTTACCCTCACACTAGTTCATTAGAGTGTTATCAGATGAAGCATCTGAACTCAGCCATTAGTGTTACTCTTTATGTTTACACTTATGATACCTTCATATTATGTTCTATTTGTCCAGTCTTCTTAGTTTAGGGTCTTTATTATCTGATGACCTGGTCCTGCCTAGTTCCTGTCTCACTTGTCATAGTCAAGATGGAGCTCTTGAAATACCTCACATTGTTGTGAATCTGGATTTTTGCATGTGAGGGATCCCCTCTGCATAGAACACCCCAGATCAGACATTTAAGGACAGTGAACTCCTATTCATCTCTTAAGACCCAGCTCCAAATATTGTCTGTTTCTCAGGTATTTCCCCATTTATTGTGTCCCTTACTCTGTACTCCCTTAGCATGTGTTACACATTTTATAATACTATATGAAAATATCTCACCCAATCTCATGGTGCTTTAGGTCAAAGAGAGAGTCTGATTTATGCCCATGCCCCTGGTACCATGCCATAGTACCTAGAACCATAACAGTAACTCAGTAATGTCTGAATGAATGAAAGACAGTTTCAATCCATATACTTTTCAAAACTGAACTGATTTCATAGAATGATTTTGATTTTCAAATTCCAGATTGATGCAATAATACTTAAGAGCATCAGCTATGAAAACACAATATCTCCTCCTTTCAGAAGCCAGTAACAGTTTAACAGAAGAGAGTACTGCACCAATGTTGTCCATAGTTAGGGAAGTTATCCTAGTCCTTTCCTCAAGGGCCTTTTAATTTTTACAACAGTGACTCCAGAATCCCACTGACTTTCTCTTAGTGTTGTCTGGGGATTGCTTATTTAAACCCCCTTTCAGGATTATCTCTAGTCATTGCTTTCCCAGTTCTGAAACCCTGGTTTCTCTCTTTTTTTCTATCATTTTTTCCCAACTCCCTGAGGTTTTCAGGGAGTCAACAGCCCTCTTATAACCTCCATCATCTCACCATTTATTTCAAAGGAAGGGTTTGAATCCTTTGTCCTCCCATATGTCTCACTGATGAGATATGTCTAATGACTTGGCTTTATGTCCTGCTTTGTGAGTTTTCCAACATATTTTTTATTTAATTCTACCCACTTTGCTAGTTCAATTTAACCTTTGCATTCTCATATCATTATTTCTGTATTTTAGTCTGATTCCCTAGCTGACATCATGTCTAGAATAGGAACCAGAAGACCAGTCTGCTTTCTGGTGATGCTTTAGGGTTGGCACCCCTGATCCTGGCACTGTCAGCTACTAGTGTTGATTCTAGTAGGTTGACAAGTAAGTGTGATAAATGCTTCCTGTGAAAACATGCCATTTGCTTAAATGGAATAAGTTATTCCCTGTGTACCATCCCCTAGAGTGTATATAAAGAAACTGTAGTTGTGAAAAAACGAAGTGATATATATTGCATTAACTAAGTTCCTACTCTTTTCATCAATTTGTGGATTTGTTTTGTCTCCTAGGGAGCTTATCTGAGTATCAGATATCAACTCTGAGACATTATGAAATCAGAAACAAAATATGATTTATTCCTAATCCATGAAAAAAAATACTTTCATGGCAAATAACAACTTACTAATGAAAGGTTAATCTTTTGGTATTAACTAAAGCTTTAAATGGATGGTGTATAACTTTTACAATTCAAGATATACCTCATTATATAGTTTTAAAATTTTGAAACTCATCGTGTATCTTCAGATAAGACTTTTTTGTAAATAAAATCATTTGTAGTTTTGATGTTTTCCATTTTGGTTTAAAATGGTGAATAAAAAAGTAACTTTTTTGCATATTCTGATGTTTCTTTGTTAAGATATCTTCCTACTTCCAATTTTTTTTAAACCAAGGAGACAAACATTTTCTAAGAGGAATTACATCATAAAATCATAAGCTCAAGAGTGTCCACTAAATAAAAGTGCATCAAAAGCATTGTAAGACTATTTAGTTTTAAAAATGAAGACCCAGCTAGCAGAGAGCCAGCACTTATCAATCCATATGTTGGCTGCTAGAATGTTAAATCTATCAAATCATATAATCATTATTTAACGAAGAAGACAGCACCAGACATTTTTAAATCTAAAATACAAGTGTATTCCAAGTATTTTTAAAAAGGAAACATACCTGTACATTCAGCATTGAGTAGATATCCAAAAAGGCAGATGGCGATGAGGCCCGGTGATTCTGCCATGATCGTGTTCAGGCACTGCATAACCTTTGCTAGTAGATTGTGCAAGTGGCAAGGTTGATCAATTGTTCCAAAGTACAAACAGTGCTCTATTGACTTCTGGGAATAATGTTCATCTCCCTTGGTGGGTCTTTGGGCTTTTTCCAGTGGCCTCAAGGGTCAAGTGAAGAGAATGGGCAGTGGTCACCATTCAAATTCAACTCTGGTTTCATACCTTTTGCAAGAGTGGCTGACTAGAGGCTGAAGCAGAAAGTGACGCATCTTCAGAGTAGGGATAGGTGCCGTGGTACAACTGCTATGGGAGCAAATTCCATCAGTAGGACCCATTTTATCTTTGTCAAGTATCTGTATGGTGAAACATATGGACCTTGTCTCAGAATATATGTATGCATGTATATGTACATATGTGCACATGTCTATACATATGTGCATATGTCTATACATATGTGCATATATACACATATGTATGCCTGTCTACATACATACACATATTCATGCATATACACATACAAACATATGTTAATATATACAAGTAAATCTGTGAATATTATATATAATAGTATATATTCATATATGGTGTTATACCACTGCACATAGTATTAAAAATATATAAAAGTATGCTACCATTTACCTGTTATTCTTTGTGATATTGTTGTGATACATTTTACTTTTACATATGTTATAAATCCTATATTGTTATTCCTTTTGCTTTAAGCAATCAACAATGTTTGAGAGAAATTTAAAAAGGAGGCAATATCTATTATATTGGAATCATTTATTATCATTCTAATACCCTTCATTTCTTTGTGTAGATCCAGGTTTCTATCTATTACAATGCAAAGGATTGAACTCTGAAATGCTTAACCACTGAGCCACATCCCCAATACTTTTTATTTTGAGACAAGGTCTTGCTAAGTTGCTGAGGCTGGCTTTGAACTTGTGATCTTCCTGCCTCAGACTCCTGAGCTGCTGGGATTACAGGCATGCACCATTGCACTTGGCTTTATTAACAATTTTGACAGTGTAGATCTCATGATACATTTTCTCAATTTGGGTTTATTTGAAAATGTCTCCATTTTACTTTCATTTAAAAAAAAACAATCTGGTTGAATAGAGAATATTAGGTTGTGCATTTTTCTGGGGGACATATTAAAGACACCATCCCATTCTCTTCTGGCATTGATTGTTTCCAACTAGGAGTCAGTAAATATTCTTACCATTGATTTTTTTGGAGGGGTAATGGGGGTTGAACCCAGGGGCACTTAACCACTGAGCAACACCCCCAGTCCCTTTTTATATTTTATTTAGAGACAGGGTCTTGCTATGTTGCTTATGGCCTTGCTACATTGCTGAGGCTGGCTTTGAACTATGATACTCCTGCCTCAGCCTCCTGAGCTGCTAGGCTTATACACATGTGCAACTCACCTGGCCCTTATCATTGAGTTTTAAAATAATTTTAGAGTTGCAGGAAATTGCAAAAAAAAAAAAAAAACAGCACAAAGAATCCATGTACCTTTCACCCAGTTACTCCTAATGTTCACATATTATATACATATGGCACAATATTAAAAAAAGATAATGGACATTGATATTATATATATATATATATATATATATATATGTATTTCCAAGTCATTTTATTACATGTTTAGGTTATTATAACCACCATTACAAAGATATGGCTTGTGCTACTATACTCCCCTCTCCCCTGCAATTATCCCTAACTCCTGGCACCACTAATCTCTTATCATCTCCATGAGAATGCTATGTGAATGGAATCAGTATATGAATGCTTCTTGAGGTGGATTTTTTCATCCAGCATAGTGCCTTTCAGATCCATATAGATTATTATATGTTTCAATAGTTAATTCCTTTTTATTGCTGAGTAGTATTCCATAGTGAGATTGTGGTATAGTTTTTTTCACCTGCTAAGAGGCATTATGATTGTTTCCAGGTTTTTTTTTTTTTTTTTTTTTTTTTTTGCTATTGCAATAATGTGTCAACAACATTCATGTATAGGCTTCTGTGTGAATGTAACTTTTATGTTTCCCTGGGATTAATGCCCAGGAATGCAATTTCTTGGTCATATAGCAGTTGTGTGTTTAGATTTTTAGTAAACTTCCAAACTGTTTGCAAAAATGGCTGTACAATTTACATTTCTACCAGCAATGTGTAAGTGACCCTGTTTTTTTTTTTTTTTGCATCTTTGCAAGCATTTGATATTGTCACTATTTTTATTTTGGCCATTCATATATGTATGTAGTGATATCTCATTGTGTTTAAACTTGTGTCTTCCTAATGGCTAACAATTTAACACTGTGTCATTTACTTGACATTTGCACATCCTCTACTGTGAAATGTTTGTTCATGTCTTGCCCATTTCCCAATGAGATTGTTTGATTTTGTTTTTACTGTTGAATATTTAAGGTTCTTTATTTTATATATGAGTCCTTTGTTAGTTATGTGGTTGTAAACATTGTTTCCAAATCTTCAGCTTCTCTTTTCATCCTCTTAACTAGGTCTTTCACAGAGCACAACTTTTTAGTTTTGATATAGTCCAGTGTCTTAATTTTTTTCTTTTATGGATTACATTTAGAAGGGTTCCACTAACACTAGATGATTTTTTGTTTTTTGTTTTTTTTTCTAAATGTTTTATAGTTTACAGTTTGAGGTTTATATCCGTGCTCCACTTCATGATTTTTTTTGTATAGGGTATGAGGTTTAGGTCAGGCTTCCCCCCCCACCATGGCTGTCTAATTCCTCTAGTGCCATTTGTTTAAAAGACTATCCTATCTCAATTATAATAGCTTGTCTACTTTATTCCCAAACCATTTGAGCACCTTATTTAGGGTCTATCTCTAGGTCCTCTGTTTTGTTCCAGTGATGTACTTATCCTTCTGTCAGTACCACACTTACATGGCTACTCTAGGTATAGAGGAAGCCTTTATATCGGGTTGGGTGATTCTGCCCACTTTCTTCTACTTTGGAAAGATAATTCTATTCTAAGAGATTGTACCTTTTCATATAAATGTTAGAATTATCTTGTTGGTATCTAAAAATACCTGGGGTTTTGATAGGAATTATTTTAAAACCTATATGTCATTTTAGGGGAATTGACATCATTAATGTGTTGAGTTTTCCCAGTTCATGAATGAGATACACACACACACACACACACACACAATCTCCTTGTATTTGTGTCTTTGGTTTCTCACATAAGCATTTTGTGATTTTCAGCTCCTAGGTCCTGTAATTCTCTAAGGGTCTAACTATGTATATAATTTCTTTGGAATAATTATGCATCCTAATATGTTTCATTTAAATACTTCATATTTTAGAGAACTTGTAGGTTCACAGACAAATTGAGAGTAAGATATAGAAATTTCCCATATATCCCCTGTGTTATTCAGTTTTTTCACTACTGCAACTAAAAGACCTGACAAGAACAATTAGAGAAGGAAAAGTTTGAGAGCTCATGATTTCAGAGGTCTCAGTTCATAATCAGCCAGCTCCATTCCTTAGGGCTCAAGGTGAAGCAGAATATCATGGCAGAAGAGTATGGTGGAGGGAAGCAGCCCACATGATGATCAGGAAGCAGAGAGAGGCTCCATTTGCCAGATACAAAATATGTACCCCAAAGGCATGTTCCCAATGCCCACCTCCTCCAGCCAAACCTCACCTACCTCCAGTTACTACTCAGTTAACCCCATCAGGGATTAATTGATTAGGTTAATGTTCTCATAACCCAATCATTTCTCCTCTGAACCTTCTTGCATTGTTTCACACATGAACTTTTGGGAAATACCTCATATCCAAACCATAACACCATCTGCCCTTACAAAGTACACAGTCTCCCCCATTATCAACATCCCCACCAGAGTGATACACTTGTTAAAATTGATGAACCCACATCACCACATCATTATGATCCGGAGTCCATAGTTTACATTAGGGTTGGTTAACCCTTGGTGTTATACATTCTATATGTTTGGGCAAATGTGTAAAATGACATGTACCCACCATTATATAATTATACATAAGAGTTTCACTGCCCTAAAAATCTTTGTGCTTTACCTTCTCTACCTCCTAACTGCTGGAAACCACTGATTTTTTTTAACTATGTCCAGTTTGCCTTTTCTAGAAGGTCATGTAGTTGGAATTATATAGTATTATAGTCTTTTCAGATTGGCTTTTTTTCCCACTTAGTAATAAGCTTTTAAGTTTTCCCCATGTCTCCTCATGGCTTGATTGCTCATTTTCTTTTAGCACTGAATAATATTCCATTGTTTAGATGTATTCCAGTTTATCTATTTACCTACTGAAGGACATCTTGGTGGCTGCTATGTTTTGGCAGTTGTTAGTAAAGTTCCTATAAGGAGCTGTGTGCAAGTTTTCATGTGGTTATAAATTTTCATTTTCTTTGAGTAAATAATGAGGAATCTAATTGCTGGATTATATGGAAGAAATATGTTTAGTTTTGTGAGAAACAGTCCAACTGTCCTCCACAGTGGCTGTGCCATTCGGCATTCTCACTAGCAATCAATAAAATTCCTGTTGCTCCAGCATTTTGTATTGTGGTGTTCTTGATATTGGTCCATTTAATAGGTCCATTTAATGTAGTAGCATCTCATTGTTTTTATTTTAAATTCCCTGATGGCATATAATGTCCCATATCTTTTCATATGCTTCTTTGCCATCTGTATATCTTATCTGGTGAGGTATTTGTTAAGGTGGAGAGATTTGTTAAGGTCTGTTTTAATGAAACTATTTGTTTTCATATTGTTGAGTTTTAAGAGTTCTTTATCTTTAACAACAGTCCTTGGTAAGATGCATCTTGACAATTATTTATCCAGTCTGTGGCTTTGTCTTTTCTTTTTTTTGATAGGAGCTCTCACAGAGAAATTTTAAAGTTTAATGGACTCCAACTTACCAATATTTTCTTTCATGTATCTTTCCTTTGGTGTCATATCTAGAGCCATTACCAAACCCAGGGCCATATAGATGTTTTTCTTGTTATCTTATAGGAATTTTATAGTTTTGCATTTT